TCCCTGATGACGAGTGATGCTGAGCATCTTTTCATGTGTCTGCCTGGCCATCTGTGTATCTTCTTTGGAAAACTTCTACTCACATTCTCTTCACATTTTTAAAGTGGGTTACTTATTTTTTCGATATCAAAAGTCAGGTTTTTTTTGCATTTCCTTATCTACTTCATTATTTTTAAAATTTTAATTCCAGTTTGGTTCACATACAATGTTATATTAGTTTCAGGTGTACAATATAGTGATTTAGTAATTCCGTACATCACTCAGTGCTCATAATGTTGAGTGTACTCTTAACCCCCTTCACCTATTTCACCCACCCGTCACCCGCCTCCCCTCTGGTAATCATCAGTTTGTCCTCCGTAGCTAAGAGTCTATTTTTGGTTTGTCTCTTTTTCTCTTGGTTCATTTGTTTTGTTTCTTAAATTCCACATATGAGTGAAATCATATGGTGTGATATGAAATCATATGATATGAAATCATATGATATGGTATGACTGACATATTTGACTTAATATTATACTTTCTAGATCCATCCATGTTGTTAAAAATGGCAAGATTTCATTCTTTTTTACAGCGAAGTCAATATTCTTAAAAATAGTTTTTCCTCCCCAATTTATAGAATGTACATATACATTCCTTTCAAAAATTTCAGAACATACGGAAAATATGAAGAAATAGAAATTATCTTTAAGCTCACTAACCATAAATAACCAATGTTAAAACAGTTTGCCATAGTTCTAACCAAGTGTGATACTATGCATAGATACAGAATGAAAGTTATGATCTTGTTACAAAATAGAGTTTGTATCCTGTTTTTTCTTTTGTAATGTTGTGTGCCAGCATTTCCTAGGCTTTCTTGTTAAAAATTATTTGAGAATTTAACTATTAATGTTGACATATAGTAACCCAAAAGATGACTGTGTCTTTTTACTTGAATGCCTCATAATGGGTTAAATTTTAAGTTGCTTGCATTTTTCACTATCTCTTTTTGGTTACTTTTTTTTTATTTGACAGACAGAAATCACAAGTAGGCAGAGAGGCAGGCAGAGAGTGAGGAAGGGAAGCAGGCTCCCTGCTGAGCAGAGAGCCCGATGCGGGGCTTGATCCCAAGACCCTGGGATCATGACCTGAGCTGAAGACAGAGGCTTTAACCCACTGAGCCACCCAGGCACCCCTGCACTATCTTTTTAAAAGACTTATTTATTCATTTGAGAGTGTGCACAAGCAGTGGGGGAGGGGCAGAAAGAGAGGGAGTGAGAATTTTAAGAAGACTGCAGGCTGAGGGGGAAGCCTGAAACTGAGCTTGATCCCATGACCCCAAGATCACAACCTGAGCGGAAATCAAGACTTGGCTGCTTTAACTAACTGAGCTACCCAGGCACCCTGCATTTTTCACTATTATAAATAATGTTGTGATAAACAGCCTTGTTTGTAAATTTGTTTTCACATCTGCCTATTTCCTTGGGGCCATGTGAGTGGTGCGTCTTAAGCAGGAGTGTGATGGACTCAGGTATGTATATCTGAAAAGCTATTCTGATAGTGGTGTGAAGGGTAGATTGGAAAGAGGCAATCAGAGAAAAGATGCTCTTTGAGCAATTTAGGCCAAATATAATGGTATAAACTAAGTTACTGGCAGCAAGTTCAGAGAAAAGAAGACATGGTAAGATTCTAAGGTATTTGCTTGTTTGTCGTTTGTTTGTATAACAGAGATCTCTGGGAACTTGCTGAAAGCTATTAGCATTTTATACCTATTAGTTCAGGGGTTTAGGGACCTCTAAGGTGGCTTTAGTTAGTAGGGCAACGAGGGTAACAGGGATCAATGGCTCTCTTCCCCAAGATAGGAAATACCAAGAGGGAGGAACAAGTTTGAAGGGTTGACTTGTGGAGGAGGAATTTATGAGACCAGTATGAGATGTGTTAGGTGAAACTGTCAGGGAGATAGTTTACAAAATGATTTAATAGTTTAGGAGAGAGGTTGGAGCAGGATACGAGGACATGGGAGCCATCGTTACAAAAGTGGTGAGACTGAGACCCTGGACACAAGAGCAGTCCTGGATATCAGGGTACTTATGAGAAGAGTACTGGACATAACCAGGGAAGCTACTTACTCCTAAGTAGGAGACGGGGAATCTAGAGAAGGAGTGAGGAACTAAGTATAGAGAAATCCAGAAGAGAATGGTGTTGAAGAAGCCAAAAGAGGCACGAGTTTCAAGGAAGATGTCATCAAACTGTCAAATGTGGCAGATGTCAGCAAGGAAAGGACTGGAGGATATCCATAGGAGCAATTTAAGTCACCTGTAAATGCGGGTTGAGCAGATTCCGAGGAGCTGTGGTGTGGAAACCAGATTGCAGCTATGCGGTGAGAAAAGAAGGGAGCCAAGGGAGGCGAGTGCGCATGGCTTGTTTCAAAGAGAGCTTGTTGTGAGGGGCTGGGGAGGGCAAGGTGATAGCTGGAGTGAGATGAGGCAGCAGGAGTTCGCTTTTCCTTGTTTATATTGAAACAAGGAAAGCTAGATTTCTAAATTATCATATGACTTTGATTAGTTCTCTGACATTTGCTATTTGCCATGTTTAAAATCTTTTAATTTTTTAGATTCTGTATTCTCTCTCCAAGCTTCCAGTGAAAGCACTCCTGCCCACACTGCTCGCATCCTGCTTCAAGGTCTGCTGCAACAGGCCGAGACTCCCGTGTGTGCTCACATAGCCTCAGTGGGTCTTAGTTGGACTCCCCTTTCAGTTGTTAAGCTTCAGCATGCTACTATTTGGAATTACAATTTCAGAATTTCAGAATATGACTGATATCCTTGAAGTTTGACCTTAACCTGAAGAATTGGTTAAAAATGGTAAATGTTTAAAGGCTGCAGTTTAGTGAATGTCTTTATTGTGTTGCCAAATGCTGAATGACAGGAAGCTTTAATTCTAACAAGCTCTAATTAGAAAGAGGGGGAAAAAATCAAAGGGTGATGTCAACCAGAATCAAAGTGAACCAGAACAAGAAATACTTTTATTGGTTACAGAACATCAACAATGTGTGGTATAGTCTTATTCACTTCCTTTACTAGCAATGAAAATACTGCGGGCTGTCCTAGGGGGTTCAGACAATCTTATTGAACACATAATCATTTTGGTAGGTGTTTTTCGCTGGCAATATGTTGCTCTTTGGGGCTGCAGAAAATTATTTATTTTAGACATATGCTAAGTGATTGTTGGCTTTAAAAAACAAGACAATGTGGCAAATGTTTCCAGTGTAGGAAGAAGTGGATAGTCAAGGCATTAACTTGGTTTCTTACTTAACAGTGAGTTAGCCTATTTGTGAGTATTATTTTTCTCAGCACAATTGCTTTAAATATGGTGACATCCAAAAAGAGTTATCACTTTTTAAGAGGGCGTTGTGATACAATAGGAAACAGTTATCCATATAAAAGATTAAATAAAGGACATATACATGTACATATACATCAGTGCATATATGCACATGCATATATACCATATATCTATATGATTTTGCTGTATAAAGAACCTGGTTATCTTTCTGTAAGATAGATTTTACTTTGAAATTCTTGGTCCTTTCTTCTTCGCTTTCCAGTGAAGTTCAGTATCATGTCTTTTTTTTTTTTTTAAGATATTTATTTATTTATTAGAGAGAGAGAGAGAGAGTGAGCACACACATACATGAGCAGCAGGAGGGTCAGGGGGCGAAGCAGGCTTCCCACTGCAGGGAGCCCGATTAGGGGCTGGATCCCAGAATCCTGGGATCATGACCTGAGCTGAAAGTAGACGATCAACAGACTGAGCCACACAGGTGCCCCATATTGTATCTTTTATCTCCCTTTGGGCCCCTCCTGCTCCCCTTCTTGTCTAGAACCTTTAGACTGTTCCTTTAATCATTCTTTCCTCATTCTAGCCAACTCTCCTTGCTTCTTGACTCCCTTCTGAATCTAATTCAATCTGCCCAGGTTCAGCCTCATCATCTGACATGTTTGCTGCTGTCCCTGGGCTGGTGAGCACTGCTAACTAAAACTTGACAAGCATGCCAGTTGTAGCCTCTGTGAATTCATGGCTCCAAATTCACTAAGTCCTCACGGTGGCCTTTGCAATCCTAGATTGTTTCCCAAGCAGTTTTCCTTTTTATGTCTATTCTGTATTTTCACCCCATCTTCAAACTTCCTCCCTGTCACCTATTCCCTCAGTTTCAGAAAATGATCTTGATTCCTGTCTTTTTGAGGCCATCACTCAGGAACTCCCGAACATCCTTCCTTTCTACTGCTCTCTATCACTACCTGCTCATTTTCTCAACCCTTATCACTTCTGGTTATTTTCTTGCCTTTTCTCTGTGACTTTGTCACCAGGCTGCTCAAAAGAATAGTGCCTGCTTGCCTCCATTTCTGGTCTCTGGCTTTCATCAAACTGCTCTTAACCAAGTTAAACTGTCAACGCCTATGAGATAGTGTTCAACTTCTACCTAATTTGCCTCTATCATATTTTAACATTACTGAGTGCTACATCTAAGCATCTTCCTTCCTCAGTTTTGTTTTGTTTTTTAAGATCTTATTTATTTATTTGACAGAGAGAGATCACAAGTAGGCAGAGAGGCAGGCAGAGAGAGAGGGAAGCAGGCTCCCCAATGAGCAGAAAGCCCCATGGGAGGCCCGATCCCAGAACCCTGAGATCATGACCTGAGCCGAAGGCAGAGGCTTAACCCACTGAGCCACCCATGCACCCCTCTTCCTCAGGTTTTATGAAACACCCTCTCTTTGGATATTCTTCCACATTGGGTTCTCACAAATTCAAAGTTGCCATTTTTCCAAAATATCAGGAAAAGATTTGAGCATTTAATTCTTTACAAAATAATAATTGGTATGAATGCTTATAATTTGGTATTTACCTATATTGCTAAAATTGTATTATACTTTTTTATCATATAAACGTATTATAATGCAGTACTTGTTATACTTTTAGAAAGTAAGAAATATATTAATTATCCTTTATTTCTTCTTTCCTAGTTAATGAAGGAGTTCCCCTTACTGAGCATGTTCAACATCCATGAAAACCTTTTAGAAGCTCTTCTAGAACTACAAGCATATGCTGATGTTCAGGCAGTCTTAGCAAAGTATGATGGTAAGTTCTTGGATATTTTTATCTACTTGAGTATTTTTCTCCTGATGTATTTCAGCAGTTAGATCAGAAAGATCATTTCAAATAGTATAGGACTTTAATAACTACCCACTTACAGAATTTTTACCTACAGTTTTAGGATGGTATTTTATAAAATCATAGGGTTTTGTGGTTGGTCAGTGGGAGCCAGAGATGTCCCATGGCCTATGCCCCATGCCTCTCCTTCCCTCCCAGTGGGTTCCCCTTCTACTCTTCCTGTCAGCAAGAGTTAGGCATGCTCTGCTTTATTGCCTCCATGGTCAGAAGTCATTCAGAAACTCTGCAGGCAGTGCTATCCTGTGGGGACTGCCCTGGCTGTTAGAGCTCCTGCTGTGACTCCACAATGGATGGCTGTGACCACTACTAGCT